AGTCCTATTTGTCTAAATGTACCACTCATGTATCTGAAACAAGCCTCCGCTAGCTGGCCCTCCCTACAATTTCAGAAACCCGATGTGGCCCTCGGGCCAAAAAGTTTGCCCGCCCCTGCTTTATCACGTGGTGCTGAAAAGATCACATGGAGAGGGGGGAGTTAGCTGTGCAGGGCTCTGGAGGAATTACAGTGCACTGACGTGATCACCGTGAGTCTGAATCTGCAATGGCGTTTGTAACGGAAGAACAGATCCAACAGGTAAGGGAGCAAGGAAGTACTGCATCCAGCGAGCTGAGAGAGTGTGTGTGAGAGAGAGAGATACAAGCTGATAGTGCTCTACTTGTGAGAAGGGAACAGATCTCACTAACCCACATTCCTGTCCAGTTAACCAGCACTTGTGTTTAGCAAAGATTTGCTTTGGGAACATGTTACAGTCTACTCCATTTTGTATACTGTATTATCTGAGCACTTTATTAGGACTATAAGTGGCTCCAGAATCGTGGTTTGTCCTACAGAGTTCCAATCTGAAGAGTTATTTTCTTCTCTCTCACCCTTCTGTCTCTTTCAACTATCAGCCTTATCCTTGAAGTTGAAATCTGCCTGTCTGCTATTTTTTTTTATAAAGGGGAAACGGTTCAAGTCTGCAATGTCCAGAGAGCTAATTTAATTTCATAAGGGATTGATCAATCACCCCTGAGAAATCAGCACACATTCTCAGTTAAGTTTAGAACAAGTACTTTTTCCAACCTCTCAGTAATCTTGTTCTAATCCTGAAACAGAACAAAACTGCTTTGTTCATTTTGGTAAAGTTTGTGTTTAGTAGTTAGTTTCCTCCTTTGGGGAAGAAAGTTTTAAGCCATGAGGACAGTAACAAATGTATATTTCATTTGGTTCCTAGAGCCTGCTGCATGTAGGAGCTGTAATCACTTTCTCCCTGACCACAGCCTGTGAATCTCTTACTGTTTTTTTCCAGTAGAAATCTCCCTTTTTAAAAAAGTGAGAATACAAACATTACTCATTAAGGAAATTATTAAAATGAATCCATAAAAAACTTGTATAATGAGAGGCTGGTTTGTGTGGGATTGGAGGCTCAGACAATAATGCCGATTATTAGATGCACATTAAAAGAGGTCCATGATACTAAGTACAGTGTATGAAAAATGCACCTTGCTCTACTGCATCTCTACTAGCAGAGAGGATCTCCAAGGATGTAAGTCTGATCTAGCATCTGGATGCAGAGCCCAAGAAAAGGTGCATTACACCAAACTGAAGAAGACTGACAGCCAGGAATATTGAATATAACTGCTGTCTCTTAAGTGTACCATAGAATGCCAGCCACTCTGTCCCCATCTGAACTCTAGTGCTCTCTTCTAGTTCCATGAAGATGGTTTCCTTGTTTTGGAAGAGTTTTTCACCACAGAAGAATGTGATGCCATGAGGGAGCAAATGCACAAGATTATAGCCAAGATGGATGTGCCACCCCACTGCCGTACGGAGTTCTCCACCAACGACGAGGAACAGCTCCAGGCACAGGTACAGATAGGTGCTTCAGATAGAGGCGAGAAGAGGCAATCTAAATCTCAAATTACTCCCGAGGTGGCTAGCAAAGGGCTAGTTTGTAACACTAGGCAGTTCAGGGAAAAGGGTTTTGTTCTTGCAAGGAGGCATGTCTGAGCAGGAGGCTGAGAGCTAGGTACTGCTGAACTGCAGTCTTGCCTCTGATGCAGCTCTGGGCAACATTTTGTTGGTGGTCTCAGGAAAGGCCAGAGAGGAATGGGTCACAGAGGCTGAATGTGAAGAGTCCCTGCAGAAAAGGGCTGAATTTGTGAGAGCCTCTATTGTTATTACCTATACTATACTGGTTCCATGGATAATGAATATCTCAGTCTCCAGGGCTGTCAAATCAACACTTCTCACAAACCAAAACCCTTCTGTCTGCAAAGGGCAAGCTGGAGCCCAAGAAGTTTAGCACAGTGAAAAGCCTCTGTGTGAACTACTGATGTCTTTATTCTACTTTATTCTTCCTGCTCTCTTGCTGGGGAGAAGATGCAGGAAAGTACTATCTCCTTGCTGGAAGTGTTCACCGAGATATACTCTCTAGGATATGATCATTGGTGGGTCTCTCTCATCTCTGACAGGGCAGTGCGGATTATTTTCTAACCAGTGGAGACAAGATCAGATTCTTCTTTGAGAAAGGAGTTTTTGATGAGAAAGGTAAAAGTTATGTACCATCAGCTGTAATGGGCTTGGGGTGGATGGGAAAAAATATAAGCAATCTGCTAGTGAGCCAGGAACTTTCTTAAAGGGACAAGGTGGCTGAATAATTATTTGGGAGAGAGGGGAGTTCTAGGTGCTATTGTTTACTCTTTGTTTTGTTGCATCCTCTTTAATTCAGCACTTTGTTTCTTAGGTGACTTTCTTGTTCCAAAGGAGAAATCTATAAACAAGATTGGCCATGGTATGTCTGAGCTGTGATGCTTTTGGAGAGAAAATATGGGGTGTATTTTCCAGAACTAAGCATTCCTTCAGAGTTGGCTATTGTGAATAATGCCAGCACATTACAAAGAAACTGCTCTCCTGAGTTAATGTTCTAGCTAAACACGGACTCTGCCTATGGTATTGTTACCACTAAAACAAGATGTGTAGATTTAAATTCTCCTGCCTTGACTATAGCCTCCTCCTCTCTGTTCTGTTGCTTTTGCCATGCCCCAGTCCACTGAACATTATTGGAAAAATCCTCTTCTCCTCCCACTTGGCCACACAAATCCCTTCTTTGCAACCTTGCTCTGTCTCGTCCCTCACCAGCATCAGGTTCAAGTTCCTCAGATTTAACTCTAAGCCTCTGCTCAGCTTCACCCTGCCCACATACCAGTTTGCTTCTTCCTGTGCCTCCTTTGAATCCTTCCAGTCTCGTATTTGTGCTTCCTTCTGTGTTACCCCATGCTAGGAAACCTCCCTGTCCTTTGCCAAAAGGCCTCACGTTTCCCATTTAAATCTCTTTCAAAAGCACTTGTACCACAAGGCTTTTATAGTTTTTAAAAAGAATCATTGACCTATATTGGCTGAAGTTCAAACTTGTGTATCTCTTATGCAACAGATTGTTGGAGCTGTATTGTTTGTGTCCAATCTAGGTTGTTAGTCTGTCCTAAGGATCTTATCTTCTCTGTTCTGAGCACACTGCTAGCGCTTAACAAGCTGGGATTCTTCACTGTGACATTGCCAGCAGCTTCTCAATCTTACAGGTTTCCAAAGTGTCCTATTTCCCCTCTTCCAGCTGCTAAAGAACTAGCTGTATCCCTTTTGTTTTCAAACAATACCCAGAGAAAACAGGGTTCAGCATTTTTATCTCACAAACGCAGGAACCTTGCCTAGCTCTTTCTCCATTAAAACTTGAAAATCCAGTATCTGATCTCACACTCCTGCAGTCTCTATAGGGAAAACAACGTCCCCCCCCACAAAAAAACCAAACCCAACTCTTCCCACCCTCTCTTTGTCCTCTGCTGTACTGCAAGTGCTCCTTCAAGAGGGAACAGAAAACAGAGATAGCATCCTCCTCACTCAGGCTTAACTGCAATTCTAAGAGGAGGATTCATTTTGACCTATTCTTCTGCAATTTATCCACTTATTTTCTGTCTAGCCACTTTCTTGCTCTGTAGCAGTCTCTGCTGGGTTGAGTAAGCTGACTGAACAGCAACTTCTATCCTCTTTAAGAGTGATCCTGAATCCAAAGCATTTGCTTCCAAGTTAAACTCTAGGGCAAGTTAAGGCATTCAAAGAGCACTGAATTTGTGCTCCCAGTTCTTAATTTTACATATGATAAAAATTTGATGCTCCATGTTTCATCTCTACAGAATTTTCTCATCATGCTGTATTCAAATTCTAAGAACTGTAGTACTCTGAAGGACACGTTCAGATAATTGACTGAGCTTGTGAGGCCCAATGCTCACCTTGATGGCATTTCTGTCTGTCTGTAATGTGACAACTTTTGAATGCAACAACTGATCAATTCCAAAGTTTTCAGGAACCTTCTAGGCTTTCACTGCCAGAACCCTACTGATTTGGAGGACAATCGGAAAACAAAGGGGGAAAATGCATACATGGAGCCCCTGCCATCTCTTTAGCATAATTACAACTTCAAGCACTTCTGGTATTGTCTATAGATCAAACAATGGATTGTTGGCACCCACTAATGCCTTCTGCCATAACAAGTCTGTTTCATCTGTCACTGTGCCCATTCTCCCTATAGTTCAACATGCTGACAACCTGACAGACTTCTCTCCCAGACAAATAATAATGTGTGGAAGGGAAAGGGGAGCAAGAACACAGTGTTTGGCATGGGAGGAATAATGGGAGATCCTGGTATAGGGGGCTCACAGAACCCCTGCTGCAGAGAAAATTGGGGGACCTTCGTATGGAAGGAAGGGGAGATAGAGGGCTCACAGCCACTGCCATGGGTGGGAAGAGGAGTGGGGGGCATATAACTCCTGGTGTGGGAGATTGGGGGATTCTGGTGTGGAGGGGAAGGTGGGAATTAGAGCACACACAGCCACTGGCATGTTGTAAGTGGGACTGGGATTGCAAAAATAACTGATGGCATGTGGGGAGAATGGAGGACCCTGGTATGGGAGGAGGAGGGAAATGGGGGCCACTCAGAAACCCTGGCAGGAGGGAGATTGGAGGGGTGTTGCAGGGAGGGCCTGAAATAGAAGGGGACGGGAGAACATCACACAAGGAGCTTGCAAGTGGAATGGAGAGATGCCTGGAGCGTGCACTGAGTTCAGCCTATAGAAGCAACAAATTGTGCGACCCCTTATTAGTATTTATCTATCTTAGGGTTGTGTATAGTGCTCCCCATCCTAATATCTAAGCACTTAGTATCTGAAGCTCTGTATAATCTATTTGGTTTTCCTTCAGAACATATGCCAGAAATCTCTTCCAAGCTATTTTTTGGTCATAGACCATTATTTTCATAGAGCCGCAGTTTGTTGTAAAGGAGTCTGATTATAACTTTGTCCTCTAAAGAAATTCATTATATGATTTGCAAATGTCAACAGTACTTGTGTTATCACCATCTGATGAAACATTTTGCCTAATTTAAATCCATACAAAAAGCTTGAAACAAAAGGAATTTGTCTGACCCAGACATTTTAGCAAAAGGAACAGGGCAGACATGATGATGGGCACTGTGTACACTAAACTGATTCCTGAGAGGGATGCAGTTTGAGCCTGACAGACTGCAGTCTTCCACTTCAGAATGTAATACCCATCATTGTGTTTCCTCAGAGTTTAAAGGGTCCCTTCTGGAAAGGAGTTCTAGAATTTTCACTAAGTAACAACTTCTTTCCCTCAGCTTTGCATGCTTACGATCCCATCTTCAAGCAAATCACTCACTCCTCCAAAGTGCAGGTGAGCAATAGCTTAAGTCACTTGAAAGAACTCAACTATGTGATTGTTTAGTTTCAAAACTGTATGCTCAGAAAGATGAGCCCTCTCCTCATGAAAGGATTTATAAAAATTCTTAGCCAGCATTCACTAAATACTGAGCAAAGAACTGCAGTGTTATAACTTTGGGATGTTCCACAGGAGTTGGGAAGAAAACTGGGCTTTGAGAAACCAGTGGTTGTCCAGAGCATGTATATCTTCAAGGTACAGTAACCCCAATCTCCTATTTACTCATGAAAGAAGCCATTTTCCTATTTTCCAGTTTAACATTCTCCTTTTCTCTCTCTTTTTCCTCTTCCAGCAACCTGGCATTGGTGGTGAAGGTAAAATTCATACTACGTCTGTACTAGGCTGCAGATACTACGTACAGATACCAAGGTTTGGAGGAAGGGAATTCAAGTAACAGGAGAGGTGGCACAAACTGGTCATTCAGTGAGATTTTTCAACACTACCTAAAGGTTTGGATGCCCAGTTCCCGTTAGAAATTACTGGGGATGGGGTGTGAAAATCTCACCCAGGGTTCTTTTCTGTTTCTGTATGGGCAGGCAAAGGGCTAACTTACATCCTCACCAGGTTGAAGGGTGACCCAGTCCCATGTGTTATGATTGCAACAGGGGCCGACTCTCACAACACACTTGAGATTTCCAAAGAAGTAAGATGTCAGGGAGATGGGAAAGGACAAGTGATTGCGGGAATTTCCTAACTCTATGTCAAGTTTCCTTGTCTTTCAGGGATTGCTGTAAACCAAAGTAATTCCCATAAGCCTCAAATGTGACTTGGAATAAGTTATCCTTGCTGTACTCCCCCTAGAATAAATGGGACATGAGCTGAGAACTTATTAGGAAGGGGACAGTATCAGTCTCTCCCCACAAACTATCAATAGATATACTCACCCACCCCCACCTCTACTGAGGTGAGATTCTCCAGGTGATGGTGTTTGTCTGTCTGTCTGTGGAAGCTGGTGGTGGTAGCATGCACGCAGCCAGTGAATTTCTGTGTCCCTGTGACTTGGCTGAAATGGAAGCCAGTGCTGTCAGGAGCATGCATACTCACTGTTGTCACTTCTAGTAGGATTCATACTGCAGTCACACGAGGGCAGAGAAAGGAAAGGCAGGAAAGCCCCATAGATCCTCCATTACTCTTAATTCAACAGTCTTTAAAATGTAAGGTAACCAGGTGTCTGTTGGTTTCAGTGAGACCACACCAGGATGCCACATTTCTGTACACAGAGCCGCTGGGCAGGGTTCTGGGCCTCTGGATAGCTCTGGAGAATGCCACGCAGGAGAACAGCTGTCTATGGTTCATCCCTGGCTCTCACACCAGTAAGGTTCATATTATTCTGCCATACACTGAAATGCACCCTCTTCTCCTGGTTACGGGTGGAAAGTAGCACAGATTGTACTGTGTCCTCTGAATCATACAGTGGTTACATGGCCGCATCCAGCTAGTGGAGACACCATCATGCTTTAGGGAACCTTTGTTTAAAGCAACATCATTCCCTTTGTACTTTTAGGGGCCAAATTCATAATCCCACTTTTAGCAGCCTGGCTCAAATGACTCATTTCCTTTGCTGCTGGTCACTAGACCAAGATTCTGTGATTTTAATCCAAAAACATTCCTGGAAATCAAAACTTGACATTATTTCTGACTCTGACACCAAATGCCCAAGTTTAATGCTGTTCTATACCCATACAATCTGCTTAAAGTACAGAGATAGTGGTACCCACAATCTTATTGAATTTTTACTTATTAAATCCAGACCTTGCAATATTAGGATCCACTGCTGGTGTTCCTGAAATCCTTTCAATTTAGTATTACTGAGTAACTTCCTTCAGCAAGTATCTGACCCTTCCTTGTTCAACAAGATTTGAGCCCCTCACAACTACTCTTTGATCCTTCCAAAGAGTGTCTTCTTTGCAGTGCTACAGACCCTTACTTCATTCCAGAGCTTCCTACAGCAGCTTTGAAAATGCTTCTCCACCCTGAGCTGGGCTGGAAGGAGCAGTTTCTCCAGGTTCCCTCAGGTTAGGGATAAGCACAGTGAAACCACTTTGCCCATTTTTGTTTCTTTAATAAAACTTTGATGCTGCACTATATTATTTATATTGACACGCCCATCGCCCAGCTTTAAACACAGATCCCTTCAGGATATATACCCATTAACCTTTTCTGTTGTCCTGGGTCAAGACTAAGAATATTGCTACCCCAGCTTGCTCTGTGTAAGGGGAGGAAGAATAAAAACCTTGCGCACACACGCGCACACACACACACACACCCCTACACCTAAAATTCAGCAAACATGGAAAACAAGAATGAACTGGATAGCGTCCAAGAGATCAGAGAGCGACCAGTGGACTATGGCAACACATAGATCAGGCCAAATCAAAATAAAATGTGTGTATCCTCTTTTTCTCGACAGATGGAAGTTGCCATGGGCCTCTAACTATTGGTGCACATTTTACACTTAGTATATTTTGTATATGTCTAGCATGGGAACTAATTAGCTCCAGGGGAACTGTTTATCCATTTCATCTCAAACTTTAATGTGCCTTAAAACAGGTTCGATCTTCAGGTCTCTCTTAAAAATAAATTAATTAAAAAAATCAAGCAAAAGACATTCTTCCCCGAGAAATCATAAAGCTTTGCACTCTGTTGTAATCACAATTTGTACCTAAACTCAGCATATGGCTCTGTAGCTGCAGTTAAACATCTGTACTGTTACAGAAAGGAGAACAGTGCCAAAGATGTGTTTTGCGTAAGTGGAGGACTCTGCTCAGAAAGCACTGCATGTTTTTGCAGATAAGGGTAGCACCTGTTAATGTGCCAGGGCACAGATGAGAAAGCAGACAAAAGGCAGTGTGAGTTTCTGTACCACCAGGTAAACCTTAATCTTTTCCCAATGAAAAGAGAAAATGAGCAAGGAAAGAATTTTCATTAATGAAACGATGGAGGGCAGAGATAATGTAATGAGGGGTTTAAGTTTTCCAGTCAGTGCAGAGGCTATGATTGGCATATGTAGAGATTATTAAGCACAAAATAATATTATGCTGAGCTTTGTTAAAGTAATAAGCAACTATTATAATTGATGCAAGATTGTTAAACTAATTAGGTGCAGGTGCCCAAGAATCTTGGACAGTAGGTGCAAAATGCATAGGAAAGGAAAAGTAGGGTTCATCATGAAATAAAGACATTTAAAGAGTTTCCTGTGCATGAGAAACGGGGTATAAATATAAGGAGAAGTGAGTTAATGCTTTGGAACAGAGTGAAGATGTCCTTTCTGCAAAGCATTATTTCCAGACTGATAAAGTATTAACTCTTTCCTTTTTGTATTGTGCTGATTAATCTTTGATTATTAAACTTGATCAAGCTTTTGTTATTTGATGGATTAAATAGTCTAAAATTGAATCTTAACACAGGGGTTTATTTACTGCCCGGTTAAATGATTTATTAATTTTTTAAAAAAAGTTTTGTCTACTGTGGGATTGCAGATGGCATCACACGTAGAATGGTCCGAGCCCCGCCAGGAACCATACCATGCACACAGTTCATCGGCTCTGAGCGAACTTATCAAGATAGCCAGTTTATTCCTGTGCCCATCCGCAAAGGTAAAGATTCATCTTTAGAACCAGTGAAAATGCAAGAGAGATAGACGCAGTGACATGTTCAGTTTAAACCACAGGTCCAGAGGGAATGCAATGATGTATTGCCAATGCAGGCCTGATGCCCCAGCTGCTGCCAAAGGGTTATGTGAAGAGTCCACAATGAAAGAAATGGATCTTGTAGAACCAAAGCAAGAGTATGATATGTTCCTGGAGTTTTTCCAAACAAATTCTTACCCTAGGAATCAATGGGCTGTATTTCCCAAGTCTGACTTTTGTCTCATTATCATGACAAATCTTTCAAAGACAGCACCAGCTCCTCTTGTATGGCACAGAGGAAGGAGATGTTCAAAAGGAAAGACAGATGTGTGTTTATTTCAAACAGGTGGCCTCATTCTTATCCATGGAGAAGTTGTCCATAAGAGTGAGTTGAACAGCTCAGAGTGGTCCCGCCATGTGTACACTTTCCATCTGATGGAGACCAAAGACACCAGCTGGAGCAAAGAGAACTGGTATACAGAGATCATTCAGTAGCAAAACCCCCCCCCCAAAAAACAACAAAAAAACCGAACCTGCTGGAAACTGGAGGCTTTTTAAAGCTGTAACCATTTAAGAAGCTTTTTTTCCACCCAGCAACCCCAGCTCTTACCCCATTTTTGTGTTACACCTACAGGGTGATACACACAACTAAGGTTCCCTCTACATGGCTCAGAACTGTGCTAGCTGCAGCTTTGAACACCAGTGTCAATAGTAGTTTCCCAGGACAATTTCCCTGGCCTGTGTAGCAAAGGATTGTTTTTCTGCTAGCCATATTATAACAGCGCTGTAAGGTCCTCCAGCAAAGGTGCAGCAGAGAGCCTTACAACCATTCATTAAACTCATAGTATTTCTCTCTCCTGGAGGGATGTTAATTCCCTACTGCCACAGAACAGGATCAGCTTGATTCCTGCCACATACAGAGACTGTCTCTTTGTGCAAGTAATAGAGTTGCAGAATGACAGGCAAGGCTCTCCTGGAGGCCAGCATGGGAGAACAATCCCTTTTAAGAAAGTACCACAAACAATGAAGAATATGATCCTCCCAGCTTAAACTGAAGCTTTCATAATGATTATACTGATGAAAGCATAAAATGCATACATCTGACAGAGGTTAAATGACTTACTCAGGGTCATACATGGTATCTGTAGCACAGTTGGGAATAGAACCAAGGTTCTGGTCCTGTGTTTTGATCACAAAACCCATTCTCCTTACAGAAGTATACAACCTATGTCTGAAGCACCCTCTGGGTACAGAGTTAGATTAGAAGAAAGTAATTAAACGCACTGGGGAAAGAGGTGAAACACACTGGGGAAAGAGTAAAAGGTATGAATGCAGGTGGAAAACCAAGATGTGAATCTCTGCTTAGGGATGTTAAGAGTTTTGTAGAGTTTCCTCTTGTAGCAAGAGATTGGACATACTGGATTGGATCTGAGGAAGTACCTGTTAAAGGCTTCCCATCAGAACTGTTCATTTCTGCATCAGTGGTACCTAAGCCAGAACGGATTCTGTGTCCGGTAGACCTGGGGCTGATTCTGGAATTCAGTTTTTACTTAAGTGTTTTCTCTTCTCTTTTCAGGCTTCAGCCAACTCCTGAATTGCCTTTTCCACCTCTCTACACCTAAAGCTAACATTAGCCATTGGAGTCAAATGGTTGATCACTGAGTAGACTCCATTAATCTTTCTCAGCCATCTGCTGCTGTTCTCTTCAGATACAACTTCACCCACTGCTCATCTCCCAATATTCGTGTGTCCTCTGCCCAGGAGTAGCTTCAGCCGGTGTGCATGACAGAAGAATCTTCATCCACACCTGTCCAGCGCTGGCCTGACTGAGAGCATCTGTGTTACGTGTACCCTACTCATAGTGAGAACAGTCACCTAAAAACTCCTTTTGATGGGGAAATCTCTTTAGTCATATGAACTCACTATGAAGTGGCCACTGTACCTCAATTGTGGGACCCGCTGAGAGGCACCTCCTTTTCAGGATACTCAAAATCTCAGTATTTTCCCCTTGTACAACCCAAGCCAGGAAAATTTCTATTCTGTTTATTCCATCGCTGTTGTATTACCCTCAGGTGTACAGAGTCTTTTGGAGGTTATGTAGAGGGGTTTGTTGTACCACAAAAAAGTTAAAACCTACCCTGCTGAAACAGCAATAGAGTAAAAGAAAAGTCTTGAATGGGCAGACCAAAGCAGGGAGCCTAAATTTCTTATTTTTCCTGTTAAAATGCTAAGTAAGAGTTACTGGGGAATGGTATGTGAGGAGATAAGACAATCCCTAGACTTGTAAACCTTTGCTGCATACATTTTCAAGGAGAACTGAGTGACTTTTGATGCCTATTGAAGTTAATGAGAGGTGGGAATATCAAGAATAAAAATAATACAAACATAATTTCTCTGTCTGAAGATGACAGTCCCTGAAACCTCCAAAAAGTGTTAGACTACAACACATAAGGGTAAAGACATACAGTGATTATGCTTTTAACTCCCAGCATGCAGAACAGATGCTAGCAAAGAGCACATAACTTCACCCTTCTAGGAAGTATCATTGATGTAATGCAGCCCACATATCTGAATATTCTAAATAACCTCATTTAAATAAAGTGACAAAGTCCATTTTATGTTCCTATGTACCTTTCTATTACTATCACTGAATAGTCAAACTTTAACTTTTTTTCAGCAAATCTATGAAGAGTTATTAAATGAAGAGAGACAGGACTTTTCTTCACAGTTTCAGTGGAATATAT